TTTGGCCCTCCCTGGTGGCGCAGCGGGTTAAAGCACAGCACAAAGAAGCTAAGGCCACTGCAGCATGAGATAGATCCCCGCCTGGAGGTGACCCACAGGGCGCAGCAGACCTCTCCTGACCTGCCCGCTGCTCCCCTCAGCAGTGTATTTCAGTCTGCCTGTTCTGCTCCCTACACTGTCTTTGGTGAATCCTCTCACTCCTCTGCACCCCAGTACCCCAGTTCTGACCTGTACCCCAGTTCTGTATGCATAAATAAAATTTTTTTAAGTTTATTTTATTTATTTATGCATACAGGAGCTGGAGTACAGGCCAGAGACAGTGGGGAGCAACAGTCACATCTATTGAGACACACTGCTGAGGCGGGCAGAGGACGAGAGAGGAGAGGTCTGCTGCCCTGTGGGTCACTCCCCGGCTGCGGAGGCTGCCGATAGCCTCATAGTGCTGAGACTTAGCTCCGCGCCACCGAGGAGGCCCAGCGTCTGGATTTAAATCTCAGAGGTGCAGGCAGATCCCCTAGTGTCTCTGTGCCTCAGTTTCCTTGCAGAAAGGATTGACTTAGCTCCTGTGAAGTGACAAGGGCGGCGTGTGGCATGCAGCAAAGGCCCAGTAAAGCGCCGATGATTACCTCAGAGCCGGCTCTGACAGAGGCCCCTTCCCTCCCGGGCCAGGCAGCCCCTCAGAGATAATGTCGCGTCTCCAAAGAGTGGTCTGGGGGCCAGGGTTACACCTCCACCCCACTCGCCACGCAAGGGAGACTCAGGCTGAGTCTAGCAGCTGTCCGATGCCTCGTCTTCGGCCACCGCACCCTGGCACCTCGGACAGGGTGTACCGTGGCGGGCCGGCAGCTCTCCTCCCCGGCAGCTGGCGACTAGGAAGTCACTTCATAACGAACCAGACTAATCATTCTGTCGATAATTACCAGGCCTAGAACGTGCCCACGATTCAGGAAAGATGATCCTGGAAGACAAGAGCCACTTAAATCCTGGCATTGACCATGGGTCCCCTTGGTAACCTGTCACTGTCAGCACAGTTTAGCGGCCGAACTAATTGATGCTCCTCAAGGCAGTTAGCTTGCACCCAGCGATCGAAATGGGCTCTAATTGCCAACATCCTTCAGGTAAGGAAACCCACATGTTCTCGTGTCACCCAAGAGGCCGGAGCAGGAACTGAGTCTCTAGGCAAACCAGTCCTCTGACTGCATTTAATTAATCAAAATAAGGCTCGCAGAAGGAATTAATTAAAGAACATCTCAGAGGAAGTCGTGACATTGGGACGTTTCACAGCAAAGCAGGACAGACGGCCTCGATGCATTCGTGAGTGGCAGCTCCTTCCAGAAATGTTCTCCAGCCTTTCAAAGCTGCCTGAGCAAGGGATCATGGGGGCAGAGGAAAGACCACTGAATGTGGGGTCTTACAGAGCTGGGATGAGCCCAGTACCCATAGAGATGTGTGACCTCAGGAAAGTCATGAGCCTCTGAGCCACAGGCTTCTCTTATTTATAAAGTTGGGGTGTAGAGGACGGGTGGAAGTGTGATGAGACCTGCACATAGTAGGTCCTTGGTGGCCCAGTGCACATAGTAGGTCCTTGGTGGCCCAGTGCTCATAGTAGGGCCCTGGTGGCACAGTGCACATAGTA